GTGCAACAAAAGGCCTTTCTAAAGAAGTCCAACATTTATTATTCTACTGAGAAACATTAGAGGGTATTTTAAGTCTGTTTAAACATAGCTAAATATAGGTCTCAATAGCTGGGAGCAGAAACCCAAACATCTACATTTCTAGCGAGAAGATATTTTCGAATGAGCATTTTGTAACAGGCTTGCACAAGAGCTAGAAAAAAGAGTCAAGTCTCACACATTGGAATCAGCGTCACTTTTTACATCCCTATGAAGCTTTTATGTTTCACATTAGCGTCTTCCTGGAGCTCACCCATAACCTTCATAGCAAAATTTTGTACTGCCATCTGACAAAGCTGTATTCAGTCCAAGACTATGATCTTTCACGTCTGCCAAGGGCTGAAAGTGTAGTGAGAGAGAAAGCTGAATCCTTGAATCTTCCCACCACAGCAAAACAGCAGATTTAACAGGGCCCCAAAGAAGACCCATTAAGCCTTCATCACGCATCCATCAGAAAGGTGATCATTATCTAGATTTTACAGACTGGAATGGTACTAAAGGAAAAGCAAATAAAACAATTCCAAGGATTTCCATCAAGCCAGGCAGAATTGCCATAAAGAGAAGAAAATATTGTCATTTTGGTGGATGTAGCTACTTTTAAAAGAGGAAAAAAACGTCTTGATACGTGTTAAAGTAATTGCAAGTAATATCAAAGTGTGCTCCTACTGCTATTTCTTACAATACCGGACTCATTCTATCATAACTAAAAGCTGTATGAAAGTTTTCTTTCTTTTAAGTGTTCATACAATGTTTAGATTTCTTTCATTCTTCCAGTCTTCAAGGATAGGTCAGGTCACTTGAACTTGATGTTAAAATATTTGTTCAGTTAGATTTGTAGAAACAAATTGAAGATAGACTAAATGATATCAAGAGCTACTTATAAATAAGATCAAATTAAAAAAAAACACCTGTAAAATCTAACAGAATAAACACAATAATCTGCAGTTATGGTCCCCATTAATTTTTTTTAGTATCATTCTTGCCTGGTAATATAAATATGTGTATTACTAGCATATTTCATTCACACACAGAGCACACAAAAGCACCATCAAAATCCAATATTTATGGTATGAGTAATTTAGATTAAATCAGCAAAATCAGTTTTTCTTATGCTTTCCTTCACTTACATTGCTTCATGAAACAGTTTTGTTAAACAAAACATAAGGCAATGGGTTTTTGTACCGTGAGATGGTATCAGGAACAAACACACTAGGCAATGGTAGTTGTAGGATAACTCTGAAAAATGGAACTGACTAGTGACTATACCAGTGGAGGTGGCTGTTAAGTAAAGTATTCTTCTGTCAGTGGGTGTTTCCTAAGAGTAGATTTAGAAATCCTCACAGTCCATCAGTTTAGAAGGAATAAAGTTTTGCTGTGTATGACAGTGAGAATAAAAGGGCTGTTAAATCATAGGGAGGGAAGGAAAATGGGAAGGAAGAAGTAACTCAATACTCTTTCAGGTCCCGGACGTTATTCAGGATGTTCACAGGTGGAATGGAAAATGAGAAAATGAAAAATTTAAAATAATTTAAAGCTTAATTATTTCAATGATTTTCTTTGGAGTAAGAAGTTGAAGAAATCTGTTTCTCTTCTCCTTTCCCATGTTGTGTAGATGCAGGTGTCCTCCATAAGGTACACAGTAGCATATCTGGAAATTGTCTTCAAATAGGTTCGGAACCTGAATTACACAGAGGTCCTGTTGTAAAATAGGGTACATGATGTGATGTACAGGGGGGGTACATGATGTACAGGGGGGAGTACATGATGCATAAGAAGGACAGGGAATTCCACAAAGATTAAGCAGAAAATGAAGGACTGACTGTCAGAGGCCTCAGACAAGAATGTAACAAGCACATGCTAAAGAAGTGCAGATAAACCAGCAGACAACAAGGTCAGGAGAAATCCACAAACGTCTCAGTGAGTCAACTCATGACCGTATATGGGAGGAAAGACACTAAGAAATACCACTTCTACAGCCACCAGGGACCACCAGAGACCATCAAGGACCCCATGGAAGCCCCACAGAGACCCAGGCCGCATGCATACAGACCATGCAAATATGATAATTAGTTCCAGAAAATCGAATAAATATGTATGAACATTCCAGGAAACTTAATGCACATGCATGTAACAGGTTTATCTAAGCTTGGGGTGAGGCAACATATGGGATGAATGTTAGGATGAGCGATCCCCCATGCATCCGGTGCCGTAATAAAGAATGCCTGCTTTTTAATGCTACATTGGTGTTAAGAAGTTTTACTCCTGATTTCAGTGACAGTCCTGGGTTTCTTAATCTCCTAACAACGACTTTATTTATTAGGTGTGTGATAGCCTGGGGTTTATGATGGACCACTGTATTGGCAAGTAAAGAAAACCACAGTCAGGAGTTCTGTCTGGAGGGAAGTTGGAAGCTAGAGTAAGCAACAAAATAATAGGAGCAGAGAGACAGTCTTTGCCTTCTTCCCAGCCCTTATCAAATGTTTTCCAGAGAAACCATGGAAATGTCTTTAATTTAAATTCAGCATACAAGAAAAAAAAAAAAGCAAGCTCAAACAGCTGTGTGTATATGAGGTTTTAAGAGACTGTGCTCTCTACAGTGGCTTTGCTCCCAGAAGCCAAGAAAACGAATTAAGCGGTCAGAACAAATTCAGACAACTGCATGATTTTAATTAAATCCTTCAATAAAGCTAGTGACTATTTTTTCCTAATAAAAAGTTCTAAAGTTTTAGAAAAATTCAATAGGTTCCTGAACAGTAAGTGTGGAAAATTTTGAGACTAAATCAATCAATGAGCTAGGAGTTAAAGGGATTTTAGTCCTGCCTTAAATGAAAAATCTTAGTGCAGCTTCAGCTAGACAGTTTCTATGGAAAGCCTCAGCAATATTGGTATCCAGTGCACATATTCTCCCACATGAATGCTACTGAAATACATTAAAGCATTGTCATAGCAATACAAGGAACGCAAATCTGCTGACAGTATGAAATATTCTTCACACAGAGAAGGTGTGCTTTTTTTAAAGTTACACCGAGTTTAAACAAATAATTGCTATGAATACAACTGTCAAACATTCTTATCATGACCTTGCTTTGGAGAAATTAAAAAAGGCATTCACACGGCCTTGATTCTTCAATGGCTGATCTGTGAATGTCTTGATATCCTCAGAATTAATGTGAAGATACTTCCAGCGTGTCATATAGTTTATTCTTCTACATTGATTTGCTTACTGTGATCTAAAAGAGGTACATCTACAGAGACAGTGCAGCAAATTGAGAAAGAACTGTCCTATTTATAGGAATATAGTGCATACTTATGAGTATGCTTATGATATCTTGCTTCCGAAGATGATGATGGATTGATGCTGCTAAAGGAAACATCAGGAGTGGCAAAACAATGGCAAAGTCACTGAGAAGATGAAGGTGAAGCTAGCCTTTGTGGAATGCCTGATTTGGCGTTCTCAAGGTCAAGCTGAGAAGACAGAGACACATACTCACTCCAGAGGATTTGAAACATAACAAGGAGATTCACATTTGTCCCAGCTAACTTTATGCACTCAGCTGAATTGCCTAGGTAATACCATTTTTCCTTACATGGGGACACAGTTTCATTAGTGGACAAAGGCAGTTTTGACTGCCCAAAGTCTGCATTGTCCTCTACAGACATCGTCTCCCTTACTACAAAAGGAATGAAGCGTGCCTGCACTCTCGTTAAAGTACTCCAGCTAGTAGGACAACAGGCCACTCCGTGCTATGAAATTTGGGAATAAGAGACAGGATGGCAGACAAAGAGCTAAATACAAAAGAAGCAGAGACTGCTGAAGAGCGATTGACTTCTCATGCCTCCAGAAATTGAGGCAACTCCTCTCTGAAAGGTACACAGACATGAAAAGAAGGCTGTGATTACACAGAACAATCAGACATATAGATGCAGACCTCAATGTTTTTCACCATCCAGTCAGTAAGGTCTCTAGCTGAAAGTCTACCCTGATAAAAAAATGTTGAAAGGAGAGAGCTTATGGAAGTAAACGTGAGTCGGGCCCGTCATGCAAATGTAACTGTGAAACAACGGCCTGTGATTCTACCCAAAAGGAAGGACAGAAAGCCAAAAGTGCCCTCAAGGGACAAGAATTCATCTAAGACACAGATAGTTTCTTACCCTATAACCATGGCAGACAACAACTCCAAAACACTTCTGTAAAGCTTGTTTACATTGCCAAATGTATCTGCACTTAAGAGTGCTAAACGCTGAGCTCCTACAAAGCAGTGTAACTTCATTGCTTGTAAATGAGCTGTATCATTTCACACAGCTGACTCTCTGGGTGTCATAAAAACTCTACTTATTACTGAACATAGATGTTCTAGCTAGAATTTGCAGCATTTTTCCCCTCAGCTTCTGATCCTCTTTCCTTTATGGTGGTTTGAGCCCATCCTCTAAATAAACATCCTCATTAACAGATATTAAATTAGCTCATGAGCAGAACTGGAGCAGAAGAGAGGCTCATGCACACCAGAAAAAGGATGCAGAAAAAAGCATAAATATCTGCAATTGCCAGTGAATTCGGTAGAAAGCAGGGATAATTTAAAATACACTTTCTTACTGGCTGCTGACCTATTAAAAATGCTTCTTCCTGTTACAAGAAATCCTCACAAGGAACCAAAGTGTATTTCATCTCAACATGTTGAATTCTTACAACATATTTCTGAGGCTGAGTGCAGAAGTGCTTCATTTTAGATACTGATCTGTCTCTTTCAATTACCAGTGCAGACTACAAAGCATTTTAGCAATGCCATATGTCAATTTAGCTTGCTAAGATATCCTAATTGCCTCTTTTTTAACTTCAGTGATGGCAGAAAAAGAAAGATGTGCTTAGCAGTGGTAAGTATTTATGCCTTGGCACTATTAAAGTGTCTAGCCAGCTCTTAGATTGAATATGTAGCTGCAGAAGGTTTGTTGTTGACATATAATACCTGTTTTTAATGTGCTGAGGAGAACCAAGACACTTGAAACTTCCATTGACCATAATAGCAAGTCGTGTGCAGAGGGCTTCACACTCTTCCATACTACAAAATAAAGAGAAAAAAAAAAAAAAAGGTTAAAAGTATAATCGTGAGATCAGAGAAACCTAAATTTAATTGAAGCAGAAGGATTCTGGACAGCTTTGAAAATGGGTACACAACACTTTTGACTTCAAAGGCAACTGTCCAAATTGCAACCCTAGTCAGCACATACCAAAAGTTATTACCACACGACAGCTAGAAAAGCACCCTAAATTGGAATTAATGTTTTTACTCCAGAACTAATTGGACAACTCTGGCCATAATACAAAAGTTTTATTACCACAGGCAAACATCTAGTAGGCAGTCTCAGAAACGCCACTGAGTGTGAGCGCCATGAACTCTGTTTTTCTCTGTAATATCTGTTTGTGGCCATTCTAAGATAAAGGATAGAGGGAGAAGAATGAAATGTTTGCTTAGCTTGCCTCATGCGTAGTAAATACCCTTAAAACGAAGTTACCCTTAGTCTGATTGCAAGACAGAAGAAGACGCAAAACACTACAATCCAAAAGGAATTTAGAACATGCAAATGCAGCTGAATAGAAAAGCAGAATCCTGTTAGATGTGACTGCTTCAGATGATAAATAAATTTGACTTGTAAAGCTTAGGGTAGATGGACTGCCATTCTACATATTATACATAATTGTGTGAGCAGTTCTTCCAAAGAATTGCTTTTGACTTAGGACATCATTGAGGACAGATCCAACATCTCAAAGAGGAGTCAAAGTTGTTTGATGTTCCTGCAATTCACTGCGGGCACTCCCCAACTCTTCTGAGATAGCTAAACAAGAGTTGTCTTATGTGCCTCAGCCACGTGCCAGTCAAAATTACAGTGCTTTTACTGAACAAGCATGGCAATTAAGCACTGTCCTAGGAACAATTTCCTTAGAACAGAACAGGGAGGGATATGGTGAGAACTGACAAACCACTGCATTTGTAAGAGATGGGGAGAGGGCTTGCTAACACATCTTCCCACAAATTAGGAAGTTAGCTGAGTCTGTTTGGGGTGTAGTAACTCCTAATGCTCCCCTTGGCATAACACTCCCCTGCTGTGGCAAAATAACATGAATTTAGACTTGTATGGACAGTTAACACAATCTCACTCCTCCCTCCCTCAAAACGGAAGTCAAGTTTTTTCTCTGAAAATTAAGTAAATAGACCTCAAAAATTTTTTTTATACAGGAAACCATCTCTATACCTTTCGCACTTGTTTGCTGATATGCAGGAAGATTCACTTCATAAGAAAAATTCCTTTACTTATACAAGTAGCCTTTGAAAGATTCCCAAATAAATCTCCAGTGTCTTTCAGCAAACAGCATAAACAATATAAAATAACTTCTCCTTTCTCTGCTCTAGCACAACGAAGTCTTATTAATTAGAAGTGAAATACATACACTATCACTGTACTTATATCTGCTTCAAGTCATTCTTTTGTAAAGCTAAACGAGTAATTAGTAACAATTTGATGGGTTTGTTTTGTTATGTTTACAGCATATTAGTAACGAAACCACAACTCTCTTCTGTTTAGCTGGTGTTTGACAACTAAAGTTTCTTAATCTGAACTGAAAAGCCAAAGCACACTGTTTCTTAAATATCACTCAACTTAATTCACAGTGCATAACTTCTGTTCCCTAAATGAGTGAGTTGGTAAGTACTTGGCGATCAAATGCAAGTAAATGATTTTCAAGATTCAGCTTCCATAAATAGAATACTAGAAACTTTTGAGAGCACTTTTGTATCAATAATGTCGCACAAACATGCACAGGGACAACAAACACATTTTGAGAACATCTGAAAAAAGTTTAACAATATGTAGAAAATATTGAGGGAAGTTTTGCTGCATTCTTTTATTGATTTGTCTATGCTTCATATCTCATTTGGCCAAAATATTATATTGCTGTTTTGATTAATGAGTTCTGTCCTCTCTGGGCATGTTTTCACAACCTCTCCTTCACTTCATGCCATTTTATATATAAATATACACACTATACTCTATTTCCTAAAGGAACATATAATTTATTCCATTTTACTATAGATGTTACAAAACAGTATTGATGTTTCCTCCATTAAACCGATATACTGATGACCATATCAGAGAATTGACAAGATATTTAACAGAGACAGACTCTTCTAAGATGATGGGGTTACTCCTACCATTTCCAGTAGTGTGTACAGAGAATAGCTGAGGCATTTGTTGTTTGGATGCCATGGCCTACTATTTTCACACACTGATGCAAAACAGAATCTTTAATAAGATCAGAAGATGATTTTTCAGTCCCTACCTTCCAAGCAAGAAGAGAAACTGCAATATTGAATAGAAAGTGCATAGAAATGAAAAAATTAATTGCATCATTTTTTCTGTGCCTGCAGCCCCCATAAGCCACACTCTAATCCTTGAAAATTAAATATAGAAAGTATTTAGGATTTACAGAAGTTCATTTTTCAAGAGGAGGAAAGAATTACCATAATTTACCAGGACATATTCCGTATTTCACATCAGGGTGAGCACACCTTCAGAATATGCTCTTCTGCTTTCAGCTGACAGCAGGTGAGGACAGAGAACAGGAATATGTTGGCTGCTGGCATAACGGTCCTACCTGTGGGATGTCAGCACAGCTGCACAGCCATCCTGAACTTCCTTCAGGATGGTTTTCCAAAGGTAGCGTTTAGAGCAGGGATCCATCCCAGAGCTGGGCTCATCCTACAGGAAAAATGAAAATGATGATACAGCAGCATGGGAAACACATACCACAGCTCCGGCCCAGCATTAAGAATTAACAAAACTCACAATAAATTCACATATTTTTCTCTAAAAAAGCTAGATTTTCAGGAGGTTCTGTAAAAGACATCCTGATCATTTTTTTGCTTTAACGTATATAATTTCATTTCTAGATTTATAGATGTCACATTTTATTCAAGAAATTGTCATGGTTTAACCTGGAAGCTGACAATTAAGCACTAGACACCCTCTCATTCACCCATCCTCTTTCTCCCTAATGGGATGGGGAGGAGAAACGGGCAAAAGGGGAAACTCATGAGTTGAGATAAAGACAGTTTAATAAGACAACAAAGGAAATACTAATATTGACAATAATAATTATAGTAATAATTATAATAACAAATATGCAAAACAAACTATATACAATACAATTTTTCTCACCACCTGAAGACCAGTTCACAGCCAGTCACTGAGTGGTGATCATGGAACCCAGAATTTGTGGACTTCGCAAATTTCACAAAATTCCCCAAAAGACCAAACTCCCAGGAAAGTGCGAACTCCCAGACCAGAGATAATCTGAACTCATGGCAAAGGGAAAG